AGGGCGCTTTGGCGCCGGCGGCGGCTCCGCGCCCTGCCCCGACTGCCGGGACTCCGCGGCCTCCGAGCCGAAGTTTCCCGGCCTCGCTCTCCCGCCCGTGTGGCCAGGGCGGCTCCGCCCCCGGTGTTTCCGGGAGCATCTGACGAGCCGCTCCTGGGGCCCGGACGGCAGCCCCCGCGAGCGCAGTGAGCTTGGCATTGTGTGCAGGGGCTTCGGTGGCAAAACGCTTCAACGGGCGGACGGCCAGGATCGCTTGGCAGGCCGGCGCGGCTGCCGGGGTCCCTGGCTGAGGGACGCCGCACCCCGGCTCGGCCAGCCCGGTCCGGGCTGCGGGGACAAGGCAGGGAGGTTGGCGGAGCCTTCGGCCACTTCGGGCCGCCCAGCTTGGCGTGTCCCCCTTACGTGGCTTTGTTGGTCAGGCCCACGGGTTTAAGGCTGCCCCGGCCGAGCTTGCATCTGCGTGATGGGGCAGCGGGGCCGGGCCGGCGCCCAGCGGCCCTAAAACGGCGCCTCAGCCCCCTCCTTCCTGTGCCCCCAGGAGAAACGGAATCCCGAGAGGCCGGTGGGCGTGGCTTGCTGGGACCCCAGGTAGGGACCTCCCTTCCTGATCCAGGCCCAGGCCCTCCTCGGAAGGGATCTTGTGTAGGAAAGAAAGCAATTCCGGGTGTGTTTTATGCCGCTGCTTTTGCTGTCCTTCTCCACGGCGGTGTGCGCCTCGTAAGTGGCTGAACATGAAATCACCCCGGCTGCTTTAACTTCCAAAACAGATCTCAGCTGTGCTTCCAAGCACTCCCTTCCTTCACTTTCCCAGTGTTCCTAGACAAACCGGTGAATTAATAACAGGATGCCAGCCTGCGGGGGGCGGGGGGGCTCCATAAAGAGAAGGGCAGTCCTTGGGCACGTGGAGAAGGCATTCACTTACCTGGAGACTGGCCTGGAGACGTAGGTGTTTAGGTGTTTGGAGCCGGGATTTTCTGAGAAGCCGGTGTTCACCCTGCTTAGCGAGAGCGAGGGAAGATCCTCCTACCTCAGTATCTCTCCTGGCGTTTCTTTAGCGGTCGTGTGGGTTGAAGAAAGTGGCCGGATCTTAGTGGTCTTCTGGGGGCTCCCATGAGGCTGAAATCGAGAACTCTGGCGGTGGGACGTCGTGGAGGTGCCCTGTTCACTTCCTCCCCTGGAGGCCTCTCCGGGCTCTGAGCTGCTTGCTGCTGCATAAACACTTGGGGATGGATGGTGAAACACAGGATGAGCTTGGGTGGCAGACTGCGGTCGGGAGAGGGGCGACTCCGTAACCCCCTCTGCCCACTTGTGGAGATCCTGCTCCTTCCGAAGCAGGCGGGGCGTGTGAAAGGTGAGTGTCCAGCCGTTCACTGTTCGCGCTTGGACTTTTGCTCTGTCACCCGTGACATACTTAAATCCTCCTCATCCCTGCTCTGTTTGACCCTGCTGTGTTCCCCCCTCCCCCGTCATTTACATGGGGGTTATTAAGCTTTTCCGCCCAACAGCGGATCTTATGTACACAGTCCTGCCTTTGAGAAACGCACTGGCATCCATAGTCAGTACCCCGGAAGTCTCGCGTGTGCACAGACTGGATAACCTTCTAAAAGACCCCGCGTCTCCCCGATGGCACAGAATGATCTGGATCCCTTCCTCGATCACTTGCGTGAGCTTGATTTACCCTGGCTGGGTCAGGCTGTGCTGCTCTATGGGACGCTGATTTTGCTAACTACTCAGACCGGCTTGCCTGTGCACTGGGGGAGACCGGGCTGTGGAAATGGTTCTTTGACATTAAAGACGAGGCTTAATGACCAAAGAGCTCAAGAGTGCTTGCTGGAACTGCAGGGGAGAGTGGCCAGTGATGTTTGGCAAAACAAGTAGGCCACCTTTTCTCACAAATGGACTGGAAACTCCCCACAGCTCACTTCCCAGGCTTAGGAGATTAGTTCCCCCCCCCCAGAGGGACTGCGAGCGGCGCTTCCAAATGGTTTCTTTTTCCTGAAATGAGTGATGGAAATACTTCGCGGCACGTTTTCAAAGGGCCCAAGCTATAAAATGATATCATGTGTGTTGTTAAATTCCTGAGTTAAGGCAGCTCAGAAGGAGGTCAGAACAGCCTTTTAACGGGTTATCAAAAGTATGCAGCCACAGCGAAAATGGGTTTTTATGTCTTTAGGCCATTTTAATAGCACAGTTTTTAAAATCAGACTTTTCTTTCCCTTTTTCCTGTGTTTCACTTTGAACATATCCCAGAGTACGTTCATTTTTGAAGGTAAACTGACACTAGCAAGCTATACCCCAGCTCAGCATACACACACACAAATTCATGTGGGCGCACATACACACATACTGGCATGTACATTCCTACTCAGTCCTTGAAGCTGTGGGAATGACAAAATTCTTTTGAGGTGGCTGTTTCACCCTGCTGTCACAGCTGTGTCCTTGTCCCCGACCAACCTCTGTGTCCCGCTTGACCCCTTTGCCCGGTCCCCTCGGTATCCTGGGTTCTCACCTGTGTCAGTGGTCATCTCCTGTTCCTTTTCTCCCGGTGTCCTGCCAGCTGCTGGCCGGAGGCGGTGACTTGCCTTTGAGCCTCCACAGACTTTCTTTGTGTCTTGGTGACATTCTTCCCTGTGGTTTCTTTGTGACCATAGATTTCACAGATACTAACCCCCTTGAGGGCAGACAGGTTTTGGCGCTTAGTGTATAGTACGTCACACAGTGGATGTGCAACATGTAATTACTGGATCTGCGACTGTTGCGTTCTAAGCCTGTGGCTGCAGGGCTCTAGGCTCCGGTTCTGGTATCTCTGCTCAGAACCTCTGTCACACTGTGGAAGGCTTTGTGGGGGCTGGGGGTGGGGGGAGAAATTGGTCTGATGGCCTCTTTGGTAAATTCTCTGTCAAATGACTCCCTTGTAGTCCTGAGACTAAATGTAAAAACCAAAGCAACAAAGAACTGAGCCCCAAACAAACCCAACTGCTTAAGCACCGGGGGGCTGGCCGAATGCCTTACTTTTCAGTAGGTTTATGGTCCTTCCAGTCCACCGGAAGGGGAAACACCGGCCACAGTGGTTATCCTGGCCTGATAAGTTAGCTGATTAGGGTCCCCTCCCTCCTTTCTACCATTTGCAACGTTTTTAGGAAAAGAAGCCTCGTGTGTGCTCGGGATTTCAACACTGCGGTTTCTTCCGAGCCCTTGTTGGGAAGTGGGTGCTTCTGCTGGCTGCTTGCCGAGGACCTGAAGTCCCTGATGAGATGAGAGTCAGATACGTGAATACGTGTAGGGTCATCTCTAGTTTACAGCTCACTCTTCACACAAGCCCTCACACGGAGTCTTTGGGAAAACACCAAGATTGCTTCCAGCCCCTGTTTCCAGGTGAGGAAATGGGCTTGGGGACAGTGCCAGGGATGGCAGAGCTTGAACTCAGGTTGCTTTTCTCCGAGAGCCCTGCGCCGCTGCCAGGCTTGCCGTGGAGGAGGAATCACATTGTTTTACTGGAAGTGTTGTTTTTCTGTGAGGCAGTACATGGAATAGAGTGTCCTTGGGCTTCTGCCTCTGCTGTGTCGCCAAGCGTGGGGGTACTGGTGGGAGCAGGCTCTGTGTAGAGGAGGCAGATGGGAGCAGTGCGGTGCGCTTGTGGCCTGGCCTCGTTGTTAGGAACTGGAGTTACCCTGGACAGCCTCTTCGGGCTGAGGTGGGCGTCTTCCTGTTCAGTGTACGGACCCGTCTGCTCAGGCTGCTATGATGATTCCACCACAGCTGGAGGTTGAACTACAGACATTTATTCCCTTGCAGTTTTGGAGGCTGGAAGTCCACGATCGACGGGCATCAGGGTTGGTTTCTGCTGAGGCCTCTCTTCCGGGCTCGTCTTCCAACTTGGTCCTCATGTGATCTTTCTTGTGTGAGCACGTGGCGAGAGAGGGCTCCGTGTCTCTTCCTCCTCTTAGAAGATCATCAGTTCTATCAGATCCTGGCCCCATCTCGTGACCTCTTTTAACCTTAATTCTAGCCTCCAAATGTCATCACTTGGGGGTTAGGGCTTCAGCATTTGAATCTGGGGGGGACACAGTTCGGCCCATCACGGTGTGTAATTCTGTCTCTACAACAAGGCCGATGATTTTAGGAAGTCCTGTTGCTTCTATCACCCAGGTCTGGAATCCGTGTTTCTTTTAGGACACCTGCCAGGGATGGTTCCAGAATGGTCAGACTTAAGGAGGGACTGTCAGCTCAGTAGGGTCAGTCACAGCGCCCTGTCCCAGGGCCGGAGCCTTGGTGCTGGCCTTCCAAAGGCGGACCAGGTTTAAGTCGCATGATTAGAAAAAGTCTTAATTCCATTTGCTGACACTTCCTCTCAAGTAGGTAGGTTTAGCCACAGGCACTGCTCTTTGTGATTAGTTTGCTTTTAGTCAGGACCATGATAAACTATCAGAGATAAGGAAAGTGTTGGACTTTGTATGGCCAGGAGGGCCTTTCCTGGTCCCTGGATGAAGAGAGAAAAGCTGGAAGGTGGGCTCGTTGGCAGCCCCACTGGAGAGGCTGTGCCCTCGGGGCCTGTCGCTGCTGTGACTACGGTCTTGTCCTTCTGTGCAATGTGTGTGACAGTGTTTGGTAAGGTATACCCTGGGCGCTGCATGAATGCGTCTGACCTCGGCCAGTTTGCCTCGTTCAGACAGGAGGCAAGGGTCTACATGCCTGGCTGCTGTCCGACTCCAAATTTGTGTGTTCCTTCATGCTTCGTTCACTCCTTCATTTGTCCTTTCATTCATTCATATGGATTATCCTACTTCTTACTGATGATTTCGTCTAAAACTCTGAGTGTCCTAAACTGTTTGTACTGCCTCCTGACCTGCCTGTCTTCTCATTTTTCCTGTCACTGACTCAGTCATCCTTGAAGTCTCCCTCACCTCTTACACCCAGGTATCAACCCCTTTTGATTCCACCCCCCAAAGGTCTCTGACATCTCAGCTTGTCCTCCTTTTCTCTTTCACTTGGATGTCAAAACAGCCTTCTAGTCACTCCTGCGAATGGTCCCACTGCCTGCATCCTAACTTTGGCCTGTGTGGTGGCTCTCCATCCTCAGATCAGTGTCCCAGGTCCAGTGTGGCAGGTGTGACCTGCATGCCTGTGCTCCCTGTTTCCCCAATCTCTAAATATACCCCCACCCCCACACTCACACATTCTGAGCTGCTGAGTCCTCTGTGGCCACACCCAGAGCAGCAGTTTGCTAATTGTGATGGCACAACAACAAAGTTTATTATAATCAGTTTGTTTTTAAAGACTTCTCTCCATCGGGGTGGGTTTGAGTTTGGGTTCAGGGTTACCTTGTGATAGTGTCATGCCCACCTATACCACTCCAGCTTTGCCTGGGACTATGCTTGAGCCTGGCTCTTCCTCGTGGGAGGAGACACCATGTGCAGAAAATGGTGTACGTCTGTTTTAATGTGGAGTGGCTCCCTGCAAATGCCACTTGAGCTGATTGGGTTGTCAAGAGCAGTACTGTCCCCTTGAAATATAATGTGAGCCCCAGATGCCAGACCCGATGTAGTTCTTTTTTTCTGAATCAGAGTCTGACTCTATCACCCAGGCTGGGATACAGTGGCATGCTCGCAGCCACTGCAGCCTTGACCTGCTGGGCTCAGGTGATCCTTCTGCCTCAGCCTTCCAAGTAGCTGGACTGCAGATGTGTGCCACCGTGCCCAGCTAATTTTTTGATTTATTGCAGAAATGAGATCTTGCCAAGTTGCCCAGACTGGTCTCGAATCCCTGGACTCAGGCAATCCTCTCGCCTTGGCCTCCCAAAGTGCTGGGATTATAGGTGTGTGCCACCATGCCTGGCCCCAGATGTCATTTTAAATGTTCTTGTAGCCCACATTAAAAGTGTGAGATGAGACAATGACAGTGTTATTAATTTTCATCATATATTTTATTTCATAACATGCATGTACTTTATTTCTATATGTAATCAAAATAAAACATAACTAGTGAAGTAACTCACGTTTGTCTAATTGTGTGAGGCCTTCAAAATCTGGCTTACGTCATACGTTGATGGTCCCCTTCTTGCCTTTTGTGTGGTCAGTAGCCACGTGCGGCTGGTGGCAACCTCGTCATCAGAGGGTGTGGTCTACACATGCTTCATGACTGAAGCTTCATTTGTTCTCCGTTTTCCAAAGTTGAGATAGTTAAAAAGGCACAGTGGAAACAATATAGAATAATGATGCAATTATTATTGTGCTTTATCAGGAAAGGTATAACCTTTGTAATATAAGGAAGAACGAAACATCTCAAGCACTAAGTTTTAGAACACTGAAGTCAGATTTGGTTAAAACCGAATAGCGCAATCAAAATACCTTG